ACCGGGGAGAGGTGAAAGAGGCGGGGACGCACGACGAACTAGTTGCCCTCAACGGCATTTACGCCCACATGCTCTCGTCGCCTTTGAGTGGGAAAGTCACATGAAAGGTCATTGGTTCATCGCTTTATAAAGAAATGTAGATTGTGCTTTCTCCATACGATTTTTTTTACCAGTCTATACTATTCACGGTATTTATCATGCTCGTTCAACTCTTTTTGTCACGATGAGACCATGTTAACAAGATTTGTCTTACCTACCTCTTTTTTACTGCTGGAAATTTGCGTTAGTGAAAACTAAGCCTGAATATAGCCCCCGTACAAATTTTCTCTAGTAGACTGGAAGATAATTCAGGGTCAAAGGGTTAGTTATCTGAAAAAAACCAAGGCAAGTAAATTGAACTGCTGTCGTTCGCTTTTATTGATCGGGATATTTTGCAGTATTTTGGTACTTTGTGTGAAGCATAGATTGGTTGACCTCATACGATTACAGTGTCTCATATAAATCTCCCGCTGACGTCCAGCTGAAAATGAGGACGGAGGCCGTCACTTATTTAGATGTTTTACTTAACTGAAAAGCTACCTGAAGACGGCGCTCCTCAGGAGGGCCAACAACGCAAACAGCGTCCTAAGTCACTGAATTTACCATTCAATGAGTTGAAAACACGACTTTGGGCGAAACCCTATAGAACGAATCAGACAAGCATTGCAAAGACGCGGACGACCAGATACGTTGATAGCCACTACTTTCAACATATTTGCACTTCTGATGGATGAACCACAGTCTTATAGAATCACAATTACCCACCATCACGTCCACGGTCCCCTAATTTTAGCGCTGCGAACTGAAAGACAACATAGGCACTTTTAACACCGCTAACCTACACTGCACACCATAGGTGTGCGTATTGCATTGTTTATTTTTGAGAATAACGGGCGTTAATCCTTGATGATCTTTTCATGTATCGCCAAGTTAAAAATGCAATGGTATACACACAGCGTGAAATATAATTATAAGTAGCGTTTGCAGGATCATTTTGGCAGCAAGATTTAGTGGTGCAACACGTATAAATTTAAAGCATGAAGTAAAGGTCGTGGCTGGCTGGAGATATTCCTGCAGTTAGTGTCGTCGTTTATCACAAATTGAGTAATGCTTCTGCCTTTTAAACACAGCAAAGTGAGGGAGTTCTACGGTCGAAACACCTGCTGACTGAAGGAAAACTTGCGTGGATCTAGGCATATACATTCAGGTTTGACCTATTACGAATGGCTTCGCAGGTGAATCATGTCTTTAGATTTCACCGAACACGAATGTCTGTGGAAAACACGGAATGTCCACAGCAGGTCGCACTTCATTCGTCATAATGGGACAGAATCCCAAGACTGTCAACCAGGTTTCTTGTCCGTGGATCAGCTCAATGGGATTACTGTCTCCTCATCTATGGCATCCATGCTGGCATTCTTTATTCTTACTGCGGTCTAACGAAAGTTCTGAAGATCCGCGCAAATAGTTCTGACGGAAACACTATCAAACTACGCCTGGTGCAATGCGTGACGCTCGTCGACGTTTGGAAGGCCCTTTTAGAATGTTCCGAGAGCAGGTTTAAAGCTTTCCAATTACTTAGATGCTTGTGTGTGTCCACTTCTTTTAGTGGAGTCCCGTTCATATAGAACTGGTGTTTGGCGAAACGTCTCCGTCCAAATCCCAAACATGGGACTACATATTAGGATTTAGTAAATGTCAGGAGCCACTGTTAGAGCACACATCCGGCTTATGAAGCTTTTCTTGTAATTTCTGCGCGTCGCTAGCAGAGCTAATAATTTTCATAATTCTGCAAACGTAACAGTATCACAGTCTCGATTCTTAATTTTTGTGCGTATTTTTGCAATGCCATTGCGGTAGAAAGATCCCATGTAAATGGACGTGTATCCCTATGACTCCAATGAAATTTAGATGGACTGTAACAATTCGGCCGTCGAATAGACGGTGTCCACCATGTGACCCGCAACATGATTGGAGCATGGACAGTATTTGCAGGTGGATTCGCTTGTATTGATAGCAGCCATAGACAGTCTCGAGCGATATCTGTACACCTTACCTGTCTTAGTCCAATGTCAAAACAGAATCAAGAAGCCTAGTAGAGGGATCTTGCTAAATGACGACAATAGCTAAATTCCTTAAAACTACAGTTTTGACCTTGGATCGCTGTCAACATCCAAACACCTGAAAGCATTTGGCAACGTTGTGGCAATGGCTAACCATTAAATCGACTTTCAGCAAACACCACAGATGTTTATTTAAGCTCCTGACGGTGATATAAGCGCACCGTTTGGTCGCGTTATGGGTCACGCTCTTCCTGTTGTGCCCTGGGGTCACCCTTGATCCCCCAGCAGCCGAACAACGCGATTAGTGAGAGCCTCTCTACCATTGCTTATATACTATATAAACTGAAAGGCAGGCATCCCAAGAAATATTCTTTCAAGGAAAGGCGTCCTTTA